TACATGGCAAGGTTCATCCATTAAGATCAAATTTGTATTCATAGGGCCGGCGCCGCGGCTCACTAGGCTAACCCTCCACCTAGCGGCGCCGGCACACCGGGTTCTAGTCCCAGTCGGGGCGCCGGATTCTGTCCCTCTTCCAGGCCAGCCCTCTGCTGTGGCCAGGGAGTGCAGTGCAGGATGGCCCAGGTGCTTGGGCCCTGCACCCCATGGGAGACCAGGAAAAGCACCTGGCTCCTGGCTCCTGCCATCGGATCAGCGCGGTGCGCTGGCCGCAGCGCGCCGGCCGCGGCGGCCATTGGAGGGTGAACCAACGGCAAAGGAAGACCTTTCTCTCTGTCTCTCTCTCTCACTGTCCACTCTGCCTGTTGAAAAAAAAATAAAATAAAAAAAATAAAAAAAAAATTTGTATTCATAACCATGTAAATACCTAACATTTATTAAAACTAAAGGATGATAAACCTACACTGTAAGAATAAAGTGATAAAACCGGCACATGGCTATAATGAGAGCAGGTAGAAAATGGGACTAGAATCTCATCCTCCACAGTGAGAAGTTAAAAACAAAGCCTGAACCTGAAAAACCAGGCGGGAAGGAATATAATCTCATCATTTGGTAGCCTGGAAGCAAATAACCAAAAAATTCAATTCCCTGAACACTTTGAAGTGGTTGCTTCTAGGGTCTGCTCTTTTTAAAAAAAAAATAAGTCATTCCAGTGTCTCAGTGCCCAGCCTCACATTGCGCTTTATCAGTTCAGAGGCCAACTGGGGATTATTTGTGCAGAAAATTTACTGCGATGAAGGTCTGGGAAATTCAAGGGAGGCGGAGGGAAACCAGGTGAGCCTGCAGCACACAGTGAAAGTCTGACACCTGTGCCGAAGGGAAGGAAGAGGTGAGTGAGAGCAGGAACTCAGGCCTCAACACAGCCAATGTGGAGTCCCAAAGCAAAGTAGTGGGAGCAGACTAATCACTGGAGATCCACCACACCCAGTCACTGGCTGGGAGCAGCCGGGGCACGGGGGAAACGTGGCTTCAGCGTGTGAGCTGCCACAGGGGAGCAAATGCCTTGGTCGGCTGCGCTCAGCCTCAGCGGTTTGCTGGCAAACGAGTAACAACTGACTCTACAGAAAGCTGACTGTTTTCTAAAAATAGCTCTTGATTTGTGGTATTGGCTACTCTCTGTGATGTTAATACTCCTACTAAGTCCAACGTCAAGCTACCAAAGAGATAGCGCTGAATGCTAGGTTCCAAGGAGACGCCAACAACCAGCGGCTTCTCCAGACCAGGAGCTGGACCGGGACACCCTGGCCTGTGCCGTCACGGCAGCTATTTGTGAAGGGAGACCCGAGTGGTCCATCACCTTAGCCTCCTTACACACCAGCCAAGAGTTTAACAGTTTCTACCTTTACAAAATGATGACTAAAATGGTGTTTCAAGGTAGTCTTACTTTAGTATTTTCTTTCATATGAGTGAGGATGAAAATCTTTTAAAATAATATATTAGCGTATCTTAAAATTATATATTTATACTCATAAGTACATTTGGAATTATGTAATGTAATGATTTTCTATGGATTTAGCTAATCTTTTGATGATTTGTTTTAATTTCATTAATACAAAGTGAATAGATTTCATGTATTTCATAGGTACTGTTCTAAAATGATAGCCAATCTTCCCTCCCGCCCCACCCCTCTCCTTCATCCCTCTCTTTCCTTCCTTCTTTTTTATTAAATTTTTGCAAAGACACAATTTCAACTCCTATAATCACAGGCTTAATTCACCACTACCCAGGAAAAAGTAAGGAGACCACAGTTCCACAGGAGTACAAACAAGGGCTAAAAGCAACAGTCATATCACAACATATCCATTTCATTCCCATACATTTTTATCTTCTGTATAACTGCCACAAATCACAGAAAACATATGATATTTGTCTTTTAGGGACTGGCTAATTTCACCAAGTATAATGGTTTCCAGTTGCATCCATTTTGTTGCAAAAGATAGGATTTCATTATTTTTTAGGGCTGAATAGTGTTTCATATCATGTATATATACCACATTTTCTTTATCTACTCATCAGCTGATTGACATTTGGGTTGATTCCATATCTTAGCCATTGTGAATTGGGCTGCAGTGAACACAAGGGTACAGATAACTCTTCCATATGCTGATTTCATTTCCCTTGGGTAAATTCCCAGGAGTGGGATGGCTGGGTCATATGGTAGATCTATTTTCAGATTTCTGAGGAATCTTCACACTGCCTTCCACAGTGATTGTACCAGTTTACATTCCCACCAACAGTGGATTAAGGTACTTTTTTCCCCACATCTTCACCAGCATTTGTTGTTTTTTGGGTTTTTGGGTGATAGCATTGTATGTACTTACTGTGTACAACATGATGTTTAGTAGTATATATTTGCTGTGGAATGAATCCATCTACCTAGTTAACAAGTGTGTTACCTCGTGTTTTTGTGTAAGAGCATATCTCCACTCTCTTATAACCACTCTCTCGATTCTGAATAGTACAGTCTTGTGGACTGTAGTCATCATGCTGTGCAATGGATCTCCTAAACTTCTCCCTCTGGTCTAACTGAAATTTTGTGTTCTTGGACCCACATCTTCCCAGTTCTCCCCCAGCACCTGGCAATCACAACTCTCTCCACTTCTCTGAGATAAACTTTTTTTAGATCCCACATGTTGAGTGATTAATTCTATTAAAATATTCAGGTCTGTGTTCTAAGTAAACAGTCTCAGGGCATGAGTGTAATAATCCATGTAGCTGGTGATATGTAAATGCTGCTTATTATTTCTTCCTTCATAAGATGAGCATTTTCAAAATTAACTCCCATTAGCCCTCTCCAAAGGGTGTACTTGAGAGAAATAAATGTACCTTTAAAAGCTTGATGTGAGTAGAATCTATAATTAGGAAGAGAGTTACAACAATCGTGTTTTTCTCACAAGTTTCAAGGTAATAATTACGTGAACACTATCAAAATGCAAGTTCTACACTTAACTTTGCAGGGAATCATTTTTAATACCACTATAGTTGATTAGCATTACAGTTGATGATAGAAACTTAGTGAAACAAAGTCACTGAGGAAGTTCAAACTCTCTCTCAGCGCAAGGAGGGTTAACAACAGGAACAAAAACAGTGTAATGATGTGATGAGAGCTGAACTTAAAACAGTGATTGCTAGAGACTGGAAAGAGGAATGTGATAACAGGTACCCAGAGACAGTCAAAGAGAAGTTCAAGTTCTAGTGGTCGCCAGCACAGGGCTGTGGCTACAGTTCACAATGCTGTATTATACACTATAAAGAACTGGAAGAAAGGGGCTGATTGGCATCAAAAACAAAGCAGAGAAAAGAAAACAGAAAGGCTACAATTGCCTGGCCTAATCAGCTTATACTATGTGTATGTGTCAAAGTGTTGCACTGTACCACAGAAAAATGTGTAAGTATTAATTAATCGGAAATGTTCAATAATAAAATTATTTTAAAAAACACAATGCAATCTACCACAACAGAATCCTTAAGAAAATTTAGTCAGTAACATTATCATTAGGAACACATTTTTATAATACATACAATTCTATTCTGACTCATGTATATATTAGTCATTCATTTTGATTTTTAGCTGCATCCTATTAGTTTACTGTAGCAACTTATAACTCATGTTCTATTAAGTTAGAATGCTAAGAAGCTGGGGCCAGCATTGTGGGGTAGTGGGTAACTCCACCTGTGGAGCCAGCATCCCATATAGGCGACAGTTCCTGTCCCGGCTGCTCCACTTCCAATACAGCTTCCTGCTAATGGCCTGGGAAAAGCAGCAGAAAATGGTCCAAATGTTTGGGCCCCTGCCACCCACACGGGAGACCTGAATGAAACTCCTGGCTCCTGGCTTTGGTCTGACTCAGCCCTGGCTGTTGCAGCTGCCTGGGGAGCGAACCAGTGGATGGAAGATTTCTCTCTCTCTCTTTCTCTCTCTCTCTCTCTCTCTTTCTCCCTTAACCTGTCTGTAGCTATGACTTTCAAATAAAAATAAATAAGTCTTTTTAAAACACAATGCTAACAAGCTGTGCATAAAGTGGTCTTTTACAGTATGACACATTTTAGGAATTTCTACTTGCACAAGTAACATGGAAGGAGCAGGAGCTTGAAGCAGAGCAACATCACGTGCATCCAACATAGTTTCTACCCAGGAAGGAACAAAAACAGTAAAAGTTCAGTAATCGCTCCCTCATAAACGTTTCCTTCCTTTTTTGCTACTAACAGCACTGCTAACACACATATCTAGACTCGAAGAAGCGGAAGATCTACAGATGCACTTTTAAAATGCCCCCGCTCTTCCACAAAAACGCATTTACTCCCTCATCCCTACATCTGTTTCCTGGTTCGTGAACCGCACAGCGGTCCTCCTCTAGCCACAGTTTCTCGCTCCTGGGTTTTAGGAACCCCTGGTCAGTTGTGGTCTGAAAATATTTGTCTTGATTCTTTCCAGAGAGAGACAGCCCATTCACACAAGTTGTATAGTATATTACTGTAATGACTCTACTTTATGATTAGTTCTTGTTTATTCCCTACTCTGCTTAACTTTTAAATTGAACTTTATCATATGTATGCATGTATAGTATAAAACATAGTTATATCCACCCTGCATATATAAAATACAATTTTCTTTGATACAGTCTCAGGAATCCACTAGGGGCCTTGGAATATATGCTCTGTGGATAAGTGGGAGCCACTATGTTTGACCCTAAATGCGGCTACTTTTTCTCCTTTATCCACAGCTGCTTTACTAGTAATCAGCATTTTCAACCAGAAATCAAGACCAAGAAAAAGCATGAAAATCAAATATGATCACGTATGGCAAAGGTTTAGTAAGGTGAAGACCGAAACTGGTAGCTAAAAAGAAGTGTGCATTATTGGTGGAATTCTTTTATCCTGCTGTTCTCAAAACATACGATCCACGATACCCCAAAAATCAAAACCAAAAATCCTACCTCATCTACATTTTCGAAGGCATTGATGATGTCATAAGGTAAACAGGAGAGCAGATCGATCACAAACCACGTTTTCAGATAGTTCATCCTTATGAGTTTGGGGTCAGAAATGACCTCTCCTCCAGGCCCCACAAAAGTCGTGTGAAAATTTAAAACAATGTCAACCAGGAAAATCACGTCCACCACGCTGTCCAGCACCAGCCAGGCTATGTTGTTCTGCTTCGTTTTGAAAGAAACGTTGTAAGGAACCATGATGGCGGTGTAAAAGGTAAGAATTAAAATCACCCAGTCCCAAGTGGTTTTAAAAGCACAGTAGTGTAAAATGATGTGCGGTGGCGTCTTTGGCGCTTCTTGTTTATACTGAGGAAGGATGTCTGAGCCCAGCTGAAGAACCTAAAACGAAGAAAATATGCAGGTAAATGACTTGGTCATCCTTGCACGGTTACTAATAGATTCAAACTTCCCAGTGGTCACACACACCCTCTTGATCATGGTTTCAGGGCAGTCATGCTTCCTACTTGGGTCAACCTCTTCTCCCACGTGGTCCCAGCGCTCATTCCAAGAAGTCACTGCAAGTCCCACCATGCTACCAAAGCTGGTCTACCTGCTGTTCCATCCGACTGCTCTCTGGTGGCCAACTCTGCCGCATAGCACAGCTGGAGCCCTCTTCTGGGAGTTCCTGCTGCACTAGTTCTGAGAGCCAGCCCGGACTCAAACGCCTCCTGGGTGTCTTCACTCACAATTCAATGTTCACACGTCTTTGGCACCTCAGGAAACACACCTGGGATCCTGCTGACCTAGGGGAACCTCAGACCCCTGTTGTTACTGGGCTTGCTGGTGTGTGACGCTCAGCAAGGCTGCTGACGCGTGGCCCAGCAGGGTAGGAGTGTAAATGTTAGAGCCTGCTTTTCCCTTTTCTCCCTTAAAGGAGGACTTAACGATTATTTGCGTGCCCAACCCAGATGCCAATTCACTTTAGGAAAGACAAAAGCTAAACACTCAAGTTTGCTTCTCTATAGCTATTTCACAAATGGAAAGTGTTCAGTGCAAAGGTGTAGGAACTCACTCTGATTAGGTCCCATTAAAGTCTGAGAGAGAGAGAAAAATGAGATGACAGCCCAAGCAGAGGTTTAAGTACCCCTAGGAAAAGGTAATATACACAGGTCTTAGCATTGTCTTCTGCAATCTGAAATCTGGAAATTGCGAAGAACAGATCAAAGACATTTACTCCACATCATCATCAAAGCTCAGGACAACAGACGTGGTAAAGGGTTTGGTAAGGTGGAGTGTGTTAAATAACAGCTTTGCCAATCCTACGCAACCAATTACTCAGTGTTAGTGTCACCAAGGGGAGGCAGCAGTCAGAAAGTCAAAATCAGAAAATCATAAAGGCTGTAAACATTTGCAAGCAGGAAAAGATATAAACAAAATACTCATTAGCATATAACTCTGAGCTACATGCCACACAGCAAAATAAATCTACTAGTATCATTTGAAACTTGGGGAAAATATTTAAGTTTCTTTCATACAAAGAATTTATGCAACTACTATGTTCCTCAAGTTGTATTTATGAAATGCATGAAGTTTGTATTCCTTAAATAAAGAGTTTCTAGGGAGAAAAAGGAATTTATACAACTGAAAACTAAATATGTGAAAACCGTTATTACTATTTTTAGTGTGAAAAATGTTGCAGGCAGTCTCATTAATTGTGAATTATAATTATTCCTAGTTTAGAAGTTATAAAGGCTGTTTGCTTAGCATATTTTAAGTATTTGTCCACATTATCAGTTCCCAAGACATTTTTCCATAAAGTCTTAAATTACTTTGCAAGAAATTATCCAGGAGTGTAAGCTCCATGCTGGGACCTATTGATATACATGCAGAATCATACAGAACCATGGTTTCTCTTTCACCTTTCAACTGCTTTGTTCAATGTGAAATTTTTTCATATTCAGTGTTGATATTTTACTACCTGTATCTACAAGCCCATGGTTTCAGGACAAAGAAATCAAACTTGGAAAATCAGAAACTCAGAGCCCGTGAGACTGGGAAGCCAGGAAAGCAGTTGAGCCCCCTAGAAAAAACAGTCCCCATGATCCCCTGCAGGACATGGTTTTGGTTCCCCATGCTCTGAAGATAAACAGGTGCCTTGCCTCAACCCAGCTCAGTTTAGGGGATCAAGGCTGACCTAGATTGACCTGAGGCTTGTTACACGCTCATTGTAATACAGTAGCATGCTAAATCACACACCTAACAGCCACCAAAAGAGGAAAAATTGGACCATACAGGGAGAGAGAAGGGGCAGCAGCGACATTCTGAGAAATTCCCACCGCCTTCCCAGAAGAACCATGAATATTCCTCCACCTTACTAAAATGTACCTCCCCCTTATTTGAATTTATCTCCCCTTATTTGAATGTACCTCCCCCTTATTTGAATGTATCTCCCCCTTATTTGAATGCACCTTCCCTTTCCTTAAACAACCCATAAATTTAAAACACAATTCAGAGACCAGGCCAACCCGCTCCCAATAGGCCCTACTCTCTGTGGAGTGTGCATCTATGCTTCCTCAGTTAAACACTTGCTGCCCTCTATTTGTTATTCTCTAACTTGCTCCTGAATTCCTTCTGGAAACAAAGTCAGGGTGCTGGGTAGCAGGAAGCACTGGCTGTCGGACACTACCAGACTGTATCACCACCTCTGTGGGCCTGAGGTCTTCTTGCCTTCTTGGACCACATTTACCCATTTAAAATATAAAAATTATATTCTATGACATCACTGCCACAAAGGTAAATATATTACTATCAAATATTCAAATTTTTTACCCCCTAGTTAATTTTTTTCTTCTGCTTTAAATAGAAACTGAGACATGTTGTAGGCCCTAGACACTGTGCCTGTTGTGCTAATGGGCAAGCCAACTCTGCTCAGTACCCTGGCATCATAGGAGGCCTCTCCTTGAGAGATGGGATGGATCAAAATTCCTTATACCTGAGTTCAAATTCCTTACATCTGACTACACTTGAATCAACTGGGAAGCTTTTTTTTATTCTATTTAAGTTATACAAGTTTCATGTATTTCATATGTACAGATATAGGAACATAATGCTACTTCTCACCCTACCCTCCCTCCTACTCATGCTCTTTCTCCTCCTTCTCCTATTCCTGCCCTCAATTTTCACAAAGATCTATTTTCAGTTCACTTAATGACTGTAAGGTGAACCCTATAATAAGAAAAGAGTTCAACAAACAGTATGAAGGAAAAAACACTGTCCTCAACAGCAGAGACAAGGGCTCTAAACAGTCATCTAAACTCAAAATGTTCAGTTTACTTTTCAGGTATCTATTAGCTACCCTAGATCCGAAAAAACATATGATATCTGTCTTTTGGGTACTGGATTATTTCACTAACTACTATGGTTTCCAGTTACATCCATTTGGTTGCAAAAGACAAGATTTCTTTTTTTTTTTTTTTTTACAGCTGAGTACTACACACATATATTTCACCAACCCCCTAGAGAATGCTTAAATTGTTCTTGGGTGGATTCTTAGAAAATCGATATTTCTGAAACCTTTCCAGGTGAGTAGAGTGCACAGCCAAGGTCAGACCCTTGTATTGCTTTCCTTTATCCATTCATGACGCAGGTCTTCAGAGTGACATGTGCAGGACAAGCACTGCGGAAGTGTTAGATGAGAAGGAGGAAAAGAGGCAGAGGCAGAGACTGGGGAGGAGAGGAAGGAAGAGAGGAACCAAGACAGCAACAACAACCCAAAGAAAGGACGTGAAGGTTTCGGCTTTGATCTTTTATTTTTTTAATGATTTCTCAAAAGTCTGTTTATTTTTTATTTAAAGGCAGAGCCTACCCTCCCACCTCCATCCCTCCCCCACCCCACACACACACAGAGCAAGATCTTCCATCTGCTGGTTCGCTCCCTAAATGTCCACAGCAGCAGGGGCTGCGCCAGGCCAAAACTAGTAGCAGGAACTCTATCCAGGACTCCCAGGAGGGGTGGCAGGGACCCAAGTACTTGAGTCAAAATCTGCTGTCACCCAGGATGCGCACTGGTAGAACTCAGTCACAGGCATTCTGATATGAGATGCAGTTTCATTAGCAATAAACCTTAGGTGGAGGGAGAATGAAGTCCTATTTTCTGATGCATTTCTGTACCAACACAGAAACATCTCTGAATTTCTGAGGGCATTGACTCTGACGGAGTCAGGGCCACAGATGTGTGGGGCTGCGTTCATGTATCCCCACCCTGCACAAAAGTGAGGAAGCTGAACATGGGTAGCAGAATGTCAATGCTCATGAGAAATTAAGCGACCGCTTACGTGGAAGCTGGAGTCTTTGAAGCTGGGAATCTGCTCCAAATTTGGAGGATCAGGTGGAACTGAGATCAAATGTATGTGTCTTGGAAAAAGTGAAAGAACCAGAAATTCCACAGCAAAAGCAGATACTGTGTCAAGCAAATTATACAAGCCTTTGAGCACAAGCGGAAGGACGATCGACTTGTACTAACTCAGTGTTTCTTTGGGTGTCTTTCTGGAGATCCAAGATGCTGCACCACACAAGCACAGACTAAATCTCTGTTGAAAACCTTGTCACTGCAGGTTCTGTGAAATCAGCCGAAAACCCCAGAGAAAGCAGTTCTGTACGGGGCTCAGGTTTATGAAATACTGATGATGGACAGAAAAAACAATAACAGGAAGCGGCACATCCGTTAGGCCTCCAGGTGGGCCGGCCACATTGCATCTGGCAGTGATGGTTCTAGCCCCGGCTCTGCTCCTGACTCCAGCCTCCTGCTAATGCAGACAACGGGAGCAGCAGGTCCGGCTCAAGTGGTGGGTTCCTACTACCCATGTGAAACACCAAGTCCTGGCTCCTGGCTTTGGCTTGGCCCAACTCCCGCTGTCACGGGCATTTGGTGAGTAAACCAGAAGATGGGAGCTCATTTGCTCTCTCTCTCTCTCTCTCTTGCTCTCTCTCTCTCCCCTCTCAAGTAAATAAATACATACTTTATAAAACTAAAACTAACATTAATCCAAAGGCAAAGCAAAAAAAAAAATCAGCTGGGAAAAAACAGGAATGAAACTTCCTCAAAAATAAGAATGATGAGATTAAAAAAAAAAATTCCTAGCCGGTGCCACAGCTCACTAGGCTAATCCTCCGCCTTGCGGCACCGGCACACTGGGTTCTAGTACCGGTCAGGGCGCCGGATTCTGTCCCGGTTGCCCCTCTTCCAGGCCAGCTCTCTGCTGTGGCCAGGGAGTGCAGTGGAGGATGTCCCAAGTGCTTGGGCCCTGCACCCCATGGGAGACCAGGAGAAGCACCTGGCTCCTGCCATCGGATCAGCGTGGTGCGCCGGCCTCAGCGGCCATTGGGGGGTGAACCAACGGCAAAGGAAGACCTTTCTCTCTGTCTCTCTCTCTCACTGTCCACTCTGCCTGTCAAAAAAAAACATTCCTGGTGCTGAGATAGAGGATATTCCTCTCTGTGTCCATGCTGCAACCCCCACAACACACACACACACACACACACACACACACACACACAGTGTCTTTGCCCTGCGTGTAGCAGAGAAAAGAAAGCTCTGAGTAAGATATAGTGAGGACCCAGAAGGAATCATGACTGTGAAACCCAAGAGTCACAGAAATAAGCTACTACACTTAAGCTTGATTTTTAGAAAGAATAGGATAACTTAAACAAGAAAAGAAAGTAGCTGCAAAATCAGGTAGTACTTACAAACAAGTATGATTGGAAAAGGAAGCCATACCTAACTGGCTGCATTCAGTCTTGTGCTAATTGCATATCATTTTTAAAAAATATTGCATTATTATGACTTAATATTTAGTTATGCTAATGCCTTCTTTTGCTTTTTGAAAACATGTCTGTACATCAAAGACTTAATATTTCCCCAAGCTAACAGTGCTATGTAGAGCAGAAAACCATAACAAGCATCTTTGTTAGCTCTGCTCTAAAAAAACCTCCAGAGCCTTCCAAATTCAGGGAACACAACTCATTTCCTAACCCCTTCTAAACCATATTTAGCGTTTAGCAAACAAGTTAGGAAATGTCGCTCTGGACTTCCAGTCTCAGGCCGTTTCTCTGGTCTTGGCACGCTCTCTGAGGTGTGCACTGCCTCATCCTAACTTTCACAGCCACATCTGTGGGGGTGATATCAAAACCCAAATGTCCCTCTGGGGTGCCAGACCCATAAATCCTACTGCCACGCAGGCACCTCCACTTGGATTTCCTATCAGACACTTGGAAAAAAAATGTCCAAAACTGAATTCATGATCAATGCCCACACACCTTCCTTTCCTGTGACTGTATCTGTCATTTTCCTACCCAAATACGACAGAACCGTCCTTGAGTCATCTCCTTATTGTACATGCGACTGTGGCCTACAGTGAACATGCTGAGGAAGGTGTTTGGCCTAGGGCTTAAGATGCCCATTAGGACACCAAGTGCCATGACCTCATACTGGAGTGCCAGAGTTCAAGTCCCAGCCTCATTCAGCTCCCCACTCCAGCTGCCTGCCAGTGCAAACCCGGGAGGTAGCCCGTGATGGCTCAGGTATTCGGAACCCTGCCACCCACATGGGAGCCCTGGATTGGGTTCTCAGCTTCCAGCTTCCACCTGGCCTAGCCCAGGCCACTGCACATATAGGAACTGAACAGGCAGTTAGGAGAGCTCTCAAGCTCAAGTTTCTCTTTTTCCCTCTCCTCTCCTCTCTTCTCCTCTTTTCTCCTCTCCACCTCCCCATCTCCCTTAATGAAAATAAATCTGCTGATCCCATCTTGGAGTCTGCAATCTGTCCACTTGAGCCATCACTACCTTGCTTCAGGCTATAGTTGCTAACTTGCTGCCAGGCCTATACTGGCTTCCCTGCCTACACATTCTCCACAGAACACTAGGTCAAGAAAGGAATTTTAATCATTTTTGTGCCTTGGATTCTATTGACCAGGGGTAGGGAAACCTTTTCTGCCAAGGGTCATTTGGATATTTATAAAATCACTTGAGGGTCACACAGAATCATTGACTTAAAAAAATCCACTAGCCCACTATAGATTTGTTGAATTTCAAGGCCTGCCTGAGGTTGCCTTGGCAGGGCCAGATCTAATGATTTCACAGGCCTTATACAGCCCACAGGCTGCATGTTCCCCATGCCTGTCTTTGGAAATCTAGCAAAAACTATGTTAAAATGAAGCTTTGTAACACATCAAATAAGGGGCCATCATTGTGGCACAGTGAGGTAAGCTGGCACCTGCAACAGTGACATCCCATACCAGAGTACCAGTTCAAGTCCTGGCTGCTCTGCTTCCAATACTAATGCACCCAGGAAAGCAGGAGAAGACAGCCCACGAACTTGGACTCCTGCCACCTACATGGAAGACAGGATGGAGTTCAGGGCTCCAAACTTTAGCTTGGTCCAGCTCACGCCAGTGAGGCCATCTGGGGAGTGAACCAGCAGATGGAAGATCTCTTTCTCTCTGGCTCTCCTTTCTTACTCTGCCTTTCAAATAAATAAAATATAACTTTTTTTAAAAATAAGAGTAAAATCGTGGGGTTTTAAAAGAAGCCAACCGGAACCAATCTACCTTTAGGGGCTTTTCTGAGGCCCAGATTTCATCATGTCATCTTCCTGGCATGCTAGACAACCACCACCAGCATCCCACCATCCACCACCCCAGCCTTCTGTCTCCACCTGACTCAACCACACTGAAGTTGAAGTCCTCTCTGGATCCTTGCACATGCAGACTCCCTGATGGGAATGACTTCCAGCCCTTCTGTACTTACATAGCCTTTAGATTGTTCCTGCAAGATCCTCTCACGGGCAGCCTTCTCTGGAGGCCCAGGCCTGGGTGAGCACACCGGCATGTTGTCCCACCATACCCAACCCTGTACCTCGCAGATTCTACCCTCAGTTTCCTCTGCTGTATCTTTAGCTCCTTGAGGACAGAGCCCACTTCTTGCCCACCGTAACATCCATTGCACAGTGCTAAGCACAGAGCAAAGTGTCAGTGTTTGCTACATACCCAAACGAAGGAGTGGACAAACTCCTCCCATCTCATTTGAAACTTCACACTGTACACATGCCACCTGGGATATCAATCACCACATCCCCATTTCAAAAGATAGACAGAATAAAAAGAAATGTTGGGGATTTCTATATTTCGACAGAGGAACAATTAATTTCTAGCTAATTATTTATAATTAATAGCTATAAATATCTATATTGAATCAATTTTGGAATGGAATGTGCAACACCACCACTGCCGGAAGCAAAGTTAGTCTTGGACTTACTTCAGCTAATCTTGAATGCTTGTGGACCACCTCTGTTTTATTCATTGGCGTGAGTTGCTGCAAAACACTCCGACTATTTGTCAAAGCCCGTGTCAATCGGGCAAATTTTGTCCAACCTTAAAAATAAGAGAAAAAAGCCTGAGTTTTGCATATATAATGAAACATGGTAGCAAACATTCTTGCCAATACACAAAATATCTCAGCAAACCTACAGAATTAAATATTATGCTAGCCAATATTCTTGTTAATATGCAAAATTTTTCAGCAAACACTTAACATTCAGAACAAATGCAAAATTTTCATCTAGAGCATTTGTTGAGATACAACAAAGACATCATCGTATCTGAAGTATGGCTATAAAAATAAAGAGCCATTTTTATGTGTGACTTTTGTTCTTTGCTCATATGTTTATACAGTCACCTGTAGCAGAGGCAGCCAACTGTTCACAAAATGCTGTGCTTTCCACTGCATTGCATGGGTTTCTTACTGGGACAGAGCTGCCAAGCCAGGAATACATGTCCCAGCATTCCTTGCATCTAGCTGTAGTCCATATCCCTAGTTTTTACGAGTAGATGCTAGCAGAAGTGATGTGTATCACTTTCATGCCACAACTTGAGAAGAAAGCACGACTTACAGTCTCTCAAGTCTTCTACCAGCTGCCTGCAAATAACAAGGCCCACGAGAGGTGGCAAAGGCACTGATTCACTGCATGGAAGAGAGCCATTTGCCAGCCAGGATTATTTTTCTGAACTGTTTTATGAGCAAGAAATATGCTCCCATTGTTTAAACCGTGGAAAGTTGGGAGTTTGTTATAGCAGCTAGCATTGCCCTAATAAAAATAGGCGACTGTGTTTATGTGAAGATAGGCATACATAACAGAATAAAGCACAGTTTCAACAAATCTCACATATTATGGTTCATATCACACACTTCCATCTTCCTTAGAACACAGCAAAATACTTCTCTTTCATTAGCAACTATAGTGAGATCTAAAAACTGTTTTTGGCATACATGGAATTCTTGAAAATGTTTTCTGAAGAGCAGTAATGCCTGAAGAAATTAAATGTAAATTTAAAGGAAAAGAAATTTTTTTCTAGGACCTCAAACTGTCATTATTAAAATCATTGATTTCAAAGAACTTTCAGTGAGATGTGAGTAAACAGAATAAAACCAACCATACTCTGGTCCCATCCAAATTATACTTTATCTGGATATCTCAGAAGCTCTGATCCATTAGAGATCTCATTAAAACTATTTCATAACTTTTCCAGCATTATCTTTTGCTAGGGTAGTCACAAACAATTTCGTAAAAATGAAAAACTCCTCCTGTTACAAAAAAAGTAACTCTAATGCAAATGATTAAATTTCAGACAGTGTGATGAAATATAAAGGAATAACTCCTGGAAATATGCCAACCATGATGCTGGTAAAATCATTCTTTGCTACTACTCTTCAATCTGATTCTAACTTCATTTGAGCTTTGTGTCGCCCCACCAATTCAGCTTCCTCTATGTATTCAATAACTGAAGTAGGAGAAAAGGGCAAACTGGTCCTTATTTCTTCCTCATCAATTGACTTCATCCCAGTGACTAAAACATCTCAGGCATCAGGAATTGTTTTCAACCCTAGGGATTACCCTGTGCAATGTCCTGCAGAAGAGAGACACCAGGTATGCCAGCGACTCACACTTTTTTTTTTTTTTTTGACAGGCAGAGTGGACAGTGAGAGAGAGAGAGACAGAGAGAAAGGTCTTCCTTTGCCGTTGGTTCACCCTCCAATGGCCGCTGCGGCCGGCTCACCGCACTGATCCGAAACCAGGAGCCAGGTGCTTCTCCTGGTCTCCCATGCGGGTGCAGGGCCCAAGCACTTGGGCCATCCTCCACTGCACTCCCTGGCCACAGCAGAGAGCTGGCCTGGAAGAGGAGCAACCGGGACAGAATCTGGCGCCCCAACTGGGACTAGAACCCAGGGTGCTGGCGCTGCAGGCAGAGGATTAGCCTGTTGAGCCATGGCGCCCAGCAACTCACACTTAAAACTCAACATCAACACAAAAATCCCAACTGTAATCTTTATCCTTACCTACACCTTTCTTCTGAGCCCCACACCCATGTGTTAATTAACCACTGGCCACGTCTTACTACTATTTCTATAAGCATTCAACATGTCCAAAATTGATGTCATCATCATCTTTTTCCTGCCCACCCCTAACATTGCACTTGGTCTTAGAGAACAGGCTCATGATATTTCCAACTGCCCAAATTGGAAATTCACTACCCCTCTTTCATGATTTCATATATATCCAATCACTTCTAAGCTTTATAGATTACGGCTTATCAATAAATGTCTCTCAAATCAAAGCTTCTCACTCCAATCCTATTATGTCAGACAATACATCATTTTTCACTTGAGATTGCAGCATTTTAAAGACACATTCACTGACAATGCTCTTTTTAAAGCATAATCTGACAATACCCATTGTCTATTTCAACCATTTTAACAACAATCCAAAGGCCTCCAGGATAACATTAGACTGGTATATTTTGGTATATAGGTCAAGTGGCTTCTGACTCCCAAAGACTTGTTCTGCATCCATCTCCTGCCACTTTCTCACACACTCTCTGTATTGCAGCCTTATCAAAACCAATAGCACATTAAATGAAGAATAAATTCAAGTTAAAACTTAATCTACCAGGAATTCTTTGCATACCCTACATTTCTTGTTTCCATGTTTTTACAGGTTATACTCAATAACCTGATTCAATATCCTTTTCCTCCCCAATCTATCTGGCTAACTCACTTTAATGTCAGACATTATCTCTTTCCAGATTTTCCTTTGATCCATCCATAAAAGAGAAGTACCCTCCTCTGCACATTCAAACCACAGGACACACACCTCATGCAGACGAACAACACTGATGTAGCTGTTGATCAAAATATCAGTCACTCTCATTAACACTGTACAGATCAGCAATTGATACATGGCCATGTATAAAACAGGCCATATATCAACTTAAAAAAAAATGTTTGTTTTTCACTTTAAAATCATATTTAGAAGAAAGCTTCATTTTTTTATTATCATTGAGCTTGGGTTTGGTTTGGTTTTGGGGGTAAAGAGAACGAGGTTGTCTTCAGATGACAGTAACTATATCAGCCATAGTGTACTGAGATATTACCTGGTAATTAGTTTTATTCCTTACATCAATTGAATATTATAATCTCAGTGACTATTTTTGGTAGTATCCAGGTCAGTCTTTGACTTACTCAAGCTCATATTTTAAGACAGGTGACATTGTACCCCTTCATACACCTCAGTCAGACTACAAAAGAAGATTATTTCATTCCAAAAAAAGTTCACCCAAAAAAATTTTGAAAAACACACAAAAAAGAAGATATTGAATAAATTCACTGATGCATAGAAGAATACAAGCACCAAATGGCACATGTTCTTTCATTCCATAGCATCATGCAGGGAAGTTAAATGTATGGTGGAGGAGAAATACAACAAGGAAAGCCTACTGTGGCTCTCTGCTCTTCTATCTGCAGCCCTGTGAGCACAAACTACTGGGTCTCCTAATGAGGAAGCAGGTGTTCCTAAATTAAATACACAAAAGAGCTTATTCAGGTGTACCTGTGTATGTGAACATCTTGTTTTACAGAAGAAATCAGTATGACCAAATACTCCATCCCTTTACCTTTTTCTAGTGTTCTAAAAGAAGAAAAACATTTAAGCACTGAAAAGAAAACATATACATTTTTCTTCTTGCGTAAAAACAGGACTATCATTGATTAAACAACTGAAAGAGAAAGGTAATGTTAATGAATCATTCTAAAAGTGTTTTCAATCAGCATATTAGGAGTTGGATTACTTAAAATAGATGAAAAGGATGCATGACATGAATTTTAGGTGTTCAATCTTACTCTTGCTATTCCTGAATGGCTAGTACTATGACTGGCACATCGTGGAGTATTAGATACATTTCTGTTGAATGAATGAAGACATGAGTCAGGAACTTAGGAAAGAAAAAAACACAACATCTGTAGTATACACAATCAAAATCAGAACACAAGGAAATTTGCTCAGCTTTTAGCAGCTGTTAGCATCACTCATGGTGTGACAGAGGGCTTTGAGTTGGAGAAGTTAGAAATGCTGTGGCAGTGGAGAGCAGGGAAAGTAATGCTGGAAGTGTTGAGAATTATCACCCTGCCTTCAGAGAGACACTGGGGAACTGCTAGCAGGAAAAAAAGGGAGGGGGTGGAGGAGGATGATACCAAATGTGGAACTGGCTCAGACAAACCAGAAGAAAGGAATTTAGGAAGAAAGACAAGGAAAGTTTTTTTTTTTCTCCCTAGAAATCAAAGCCAAGAGAGTTCTCAAATTGAGTAACTATTTACAAGTTTTGTTATCAAAATGCCCTAGAAGATGAAGAACCACGCAAAGCCAAGGAATATTTTATTTCACCTTTAAATCGACGGGAGTGCCCAGAGACGAGCTCCCTGAGCTGCTCGGTAATCTTTTTATTTGTCTCTGGCCAGGGCCGCCTTGCAGTCCCAGGTTCTGAACGTTAACACGTTTGTCTCTCAAGACATCTGTACAACTCCTCTCTCCTCACTCTCAGCACACACCTTTCCAAACTCTTTAGCGAGTGAAATAGAAGCCACAAGAAACACAGCGGCCTTCAACCTCCCTCCTCGCCCCTCCACCACCCCACATCTCTAGATCAACCTGGCTCCTGCCTGCACCTCATAATCTCAGAGAAGTATCTGCTCCTCCTCAATCACCTGTGTGTTCCACTGAGCACGTTAATTTCTGATTTCACTCTTACTAACAATGCCACACTAATTTTTTATGCCTGTCCCTCTGTGCTCTTGAACATGTCTGGAATGGCCTGTTATTAGCTAAATTAGCTCATTTGATCTCTCACCAACCCTCAATGTACAGTGAAACTTTGAAAGAGCTGAGCAGCCACACTGCCGAGGTCAGAGAAAAAGGGCGCATCAGCAGTTCTAACTTTTCCCAGTGATACATTTACTGATCTCACCTTTACAGAGACCTAACCCGTGTGAATGATTATTCAGCACACTTTGCTGATGTTACTTAGATGTGGTCGATGTGGGG